CGCCCCCGGGGGTGGCGGGGCGGGGGGGGGGGGGGGTGGGGGTGGGGTGGTGTTGCTGTCCCGAGGCGTGGATCTGGGAATCTTCGCCCAAGAGCTGCCACCCGAAGGGTTCTGAACTTCCTCGTTCCTTTAAGCTTGAATTTGAGCTGGTTTGGCTGCAGTTGGAGGAGGTCGCACCAGTTTGGGCTCTGGGTGATGTGTGAGTAACGCAGCCCCCGGTGCAGGACCCAGATTCAGGGTGTTGCCGCCCCAGTTTGAGCCCTCAGCACCCCGAGGTACATTGTCACAGTGCAGCTGGCGCTGCCACCAGACGGGCAGAGCCCTCCTCCCTCCGTCTCCCTCCACAGGCCGCGCCACCAAACCAGAGACAGAGGTGGCCTGGAGCCGGTGGCGATTCAGGCCGTGCCACCAAACCAGAGACACAGAGGTGGCCTGGGAGTCTTTGCGGGCAGCGAGGGGACACTTCTGCTGGCTTGACCTGTGGGCTTTGTCTTCCTCAGGAGTCTCCCTCTTCGGTCTGGCTGCCCTGCTGCTCCCGGAACAGTTTCCCCACTACCTGGCCATGGTGAAGTCGCTCAGCCTGGGGCCTGCTCTCATCTACTCTGCTAAGTTCGCTCTGGCTTTCCCCTTCTCCTACCACACCTGGAATGGAGTCCGACACCTGGTGAGCAGCCTCCACACGGGGCTGGGGGTGTGAGGGAAGGGAAACGTCTGCCGGCGGCGGCATCCGAGAAGGTGCCCTTGGGAATGGGAATGAGTCACCTCGAGTGCTTCAGAACCTCGGTGCTATTTTTGGGTCCGTTTTAAGTTGCACAGAGCATCGCTACGTCCTTCGCCAGGCGGCACAGCTGGCTGAAGCTTCCCCTGCTTCACGGGCTGGGGGGACGTGTCCGCAGGGCCCTGCGGAGGTGTCACCCGCGGCTCCTTACCTCGCCCTCGGCGCAGCCGTCGCGCTGTGCTCTCCCAAGTGCTTTGGAGTCTTTCCGGAGCCCAGAAGACGCGGGGCAGAGGGTTAGAGACGGCTCTGCCTGCCCAAAGTGAGCTGTGATGTTTGTCCTGGGCTCCGGCGGCTCCGTTCAGCCGAGCTTCCTGTGTTTGACGAAGGAGGGGGAGCCGGAGAGCTGCGAGTTTCTCGCTGGGAACGGTACAAGACGTGCTGCTTTTTGTAGGTGATTCTGTGTTTTCTGTAGCTCCAGACGAGTTAGGTTTGATGGGAGCAAATTGCAAAGGCAGCTGGCCCGGAGCGTGACACGATCCTGCTGCTCTGGGCGTGGGGAGCGTCACGTGCGGAGCCAGACGTGGGCTCAGGCTGCAGGCGCTGACGGCCCCCAGTGTTTCCAGCGTGGAAACACGGCGCTTTTGGGTGTTGTAGCCTGTCCTGTTAATGAGCTGCTCGTGTCAGAGCGCCGGGAGGCGCCTGGCCGAGCTTTTGGGATGAGCGACAGCCGTGTGCTGCGAGAGGAGCCCCCTCGGGGTGGCCGGTGGCCGGTGGGCAGCGCTGCGAGGACTCATTATCGGCTTTTCAAGCGCTCGGTTTGGGATGGGGTCTTGGAACCCGGGGCTTGCAGCCAGCTGAGCCGCGCTCGCTGGCGGAGGAGCCGTCGGGCAGACAGAGCGATCGTCACCGGCTGCTTGCTCAGGGCGGCGTCTGAAGCCTCCGACCGCTCGGATCGATTAGGAGGCCGATTAAATCATCTGAGACGGAAACCAGCAGCGCTGGGCCCCGGCTGCGCTCGGCAGCGCGGCCCAGGCGAGTGGCAGAAAGGCAGTCACCAGGGAGCAGGTTCGGTTTAGTGCCTCTGCCCCGGGGGCTTCTCTGCTTTGAGCCGTGGGGGCTCGCTCGCAGGTTTTGGGGGGGGCAGGTGGGCGCTCCCCAGGCTGCCCTCCGCCGCCCCCC